AATAAGAAAGCAAAGTCAAGAAAGCTTTTGAAATAAAACATAGAATCTCTATGTGACATGTGGACAGGAAAGTGTTTAATAGGATGCAAAGCACATCAGTCATAAAGGAAAATATGCCAGACTCTATGAAAATGAGTTTTGATAAAAAAAAGAAAAAAAAGGCTACCTCCACCAGCCCACTCTGCTGCCGTCCCCACCCACCCACCTAGTTAAAAAAGAAAATAAGTCTTTGGTTTTTGTTGTTTTTGAGACAGGGGCTCACTCTGTCTCCCAGGCTAGAGTGTAGTGTTGCAATCACAGCTTACTGCAGTCTTGAACTCCTGGACTCAAGTGATCTTCCCACCTCAGTCTCCAGAGTAGTTGGGGCTATAAGCATGCACCACCCACACCCACCTATTTTTTTTTTTTTTGGGTCAACACAGGGTCTCATTATGTTGCCCACACTGGTCTTGACCTCCTGGCCTCAAGTGACCCTTCCACCTTGGCCTCCCAAAGTGCTGGGATTACAGGTGTGAACTACTGCACCCAGCTGAAAACGAGTTTTGGTTCATCAAAAGATGCAATTAAAAAGGAAGCCATGGGCTGAGCACGGTGGCTCACGCCTGCAATCCCAACGCTTTGGGAGGCCAAGTTGGGCGGATTACAAAGTCAGGAGTTCAAGACCAGCCTGGCCAATATAGTGAAACCCCATCTCTACTAAAAATACAAAAATTAGCCAGGCGTAGTGGCAGGTACATGTAATCCCAGCTACTCCGGAGGCTGAGGCAGGAGAATCGCTTGAACCCCGGAGATGGGAAGTTGCAGTGAGCTGAGATAGTGCCACTGCACTCTAGCCTGGGCGACAGAGTGAAACTCCATCTCAAAAAGAAAAAAAAAAAGCCACAGACATATGTCAGAAAAAGACTCATATCTATAATACATAGAGAACTCTTTCAATTTAATAAAAGACAATCACTTTTTTACTAAGTGGCTAAAAGAGCTAAATAGGCACTTCACAAAAGAAGCCCAGATGGCCAATGCTAACATGGGAAGCTGCTCAACTTCATTAGTCATTAGGGAAATACAAACTGAAACCTCAATACAGTATCACCCTCACACGCACCAGTGAAAAAGCATTTTTTCGAGTGTTGGCAAAACCAGAACTCTATGTTGCTGGAGGAAGTCTCAAATGGTATAGCCGCTTTGGAAAATGATTAGTCCACATTTATTAGAGCTAATTTTACTGGGGCACGGGACCCACCCGTGCCTGGAATGAGTGCATATTTTTACCAAGTAACATGAACAAGAAATGTTCACAGTAGTTTACTCACAATAGCTGAAAGCTGAAAACACAGTAATAGAATTGTTACTTATTCACATGGGATACATACATAGGGGCCATAGACTTTCTTTTTTTTTTTTTTTTTTTGAGGATGGATCTCTTTTGTTACCCAGGCGGGAGTGCAATGGCACGATCTTGGCTCACTGCAACCTCCGCCTCCTGGGTTCAAGTGATTCTCCTGCCTCAGCCTCCCAAGTAGCTGGAGTTACAGGCATGCACCACCACGCCTGGCTAATTTTGTATTTTTCGTACAGACTGGCTTTCACCATGTTGGCCAGGCTAGTTTCAAACTCCTTGCCTCAAGTGATCCACCCGCCTCAGCCTCCCAAAGTGCTGGGATTATAGGTGTGAGCCACCATAGACTTTCTTTTTTAGAGATAGGGTCTTGCTCTGTCACCCAGGCTGCTGTGTAGTGGCGTGATCACAACTCACTGCAGCCTCAACCTTCCAGGCTCATGCAATCCCCCGTCTCAGGTTCCCAAATAATAGCTGAGACTATAGGCATGTACCACCACAAACAGCTAATTTTTTTTTTTTTTTTTTTTTTTAGTAATCCCAAAGTGTTGAGATTACAGACATGAGCCACTACGCCCAGCAAAAAATAAACATAAAAATTTAGGGTACCTGGGCATGGTGGCACACACCTGAGGTCTCAGCTACTTGGGAAGCTGAGGTGGAAGGATCGCTTGAGCCCTGGAGGTCAAGGCTGCAGTGAGCTATGATTATGCCACTGTACTCCAGCCTGGACAACAGAGCAAGACCCTATGTCAGAAAAAAAAAGATGAATTTCAAAAACGTTACACTGCAGTAAAGAAACCAGTCATAGGAGAATACATACTGGGTAATTCTGTTTATAGAAATTGCCAAGGCACTTATCTTCACTTCTCTCACCCACTTCAAAATTGGGCCTCCTTCCTTCCTTCTTTCCAGGCCACTTACACCCTGCTTTCCTCCCTCAGTTCTTCCCAGCCCCCTACAGCCTGCCGAGGTGGGGGCGGGGGGGAAACGCCAGTCACAGCCCAGAGACTTGCCCAGCTTCTGAAGAACGATGTGAAAACACAGTGTCTGCTCCTGAATCGCAGAAAAAGTTTCTCTCTCTACACCACCACAGTGAGCGGAAAAAAAGCTAAGCCTGCCCTGGTCTTAAATTAAGCCAGAGGGATCTCACGTGAGGAGGCTCCTTCCCAGAAAAGACCACCCATCACCCACAGCTGATTCTCCAAAAGCAATCGGCAACTTGGGGATCATTAGCTGGTGCAAAGGTAATTGCAGTCTTTGCTATTAAAAGTAATGAGCTGGGTGCACTGGCTCACACCTGTAATCCCAGCACTTTGGGAGGCCGAGGCAGGTGGATCATTTGAAGCCAGGAGTTTGAGACCAGCCTGGCTACATAATGACGCCCTGTCTCTACTAAAAATACAAAAATTAGCTGGGCATGGTGGTAGGCGCCTGCAATCCCAGCTACTTGGAAGGCTGAGGCTGCAGAATTGCTTGAATCTGGGAGGCGGAGGTTTCAGTGAGCCAAGATTGTGCCACTGCACTCCAGCCTGGGAGACAGAGTAAGGACTCCATCCCAACCTCAAAAAAAAGTAACATACTCATTTTACAGATGAGGAAGCCAGCTGACAGTTGTCATGTGCCATGCCTGAAGTCTACATGGGTTGTTGAGTGTTGGATGTAAGATTCAAATCTGCTTTTCCTAACTTGATAGTATGCACTTTTAACAGTTATGCCACCACAATTGCCGACAAAAATGAATCATATCCGACTCACTTCATTTCCCTTTGTTTTTTGGACAGATTTGACTATTCCTGGATAACACATTCAAGGAAAGGAGGTGGTATTGGGTTTTCTGAATGTCTTATCTGGGAATAGTTAAATCTGTCCAAAAAAGTGGGGAAGATGGTGGTATTGGGTGTCTGAATTTTGGGCAAGTATGTCAGCTTTGTAGACAAATGGGAACAAATGGCTAGATATGAGGATGGAGAGATGGTTTAGAAACCATTTGCAGGTTTTTATTGGTTTGTTTGTTTTTAGAGAGGCAGTCTCACTCTGTTGCCCAGGCTGGAGTGCAGTGGTGCCATCATAGCTCACTGCATCCTCCAACTCCTGGGTTCAAGCGATCCTCCTGCTTCAGCCTCTCAAGTAGCTGGGACTACAGGTGCATGATACCACACCCAACTAATTTTTTAAATTTTTTGTAGAGCTAGGGATGTCTCACAGTGTTGCCCAGGCTAGTCTCGAATTCCTGGCTCAAGCAATCTTCCTGCTTCAGCCTCCCAGAGCGGTGGGATTATAGACGTGGACCGCACCATGCCCAGCCAGAAACCCTTTGAAGACTGCTAATGAAACAATGGGTCCAGGCAATGGTTATCCATGGTTGATCAAACCCTTAGGGAAATGCCAAATGGGGAATTTACAAAGGCAGGGTCAGGCAGATGGCATCTGAACCCCCGGATGGATCATTCTTAGTTATCAGCAAAATGGAAAGACAGGCCAGCAGTGGCTCACACCTGTAATCCTAGCACTTTGGGAGGCTGAGGCAGGAGGATCACTTGAGCCCAGGAGTTCCAGACCAGCCTAAGCAATGTAGTGTGACCTTGGGTCTACAAAAAGGTTTTTTGGTTTTTGTTTTGTTTTGTTTTTCAGATGAGGGTCTCAGTCTGTCACCCAGGCTGGAGTGCAGGGGCACGATCTCATCTCACTGCAACCTCCGAGTCCTGGGCTCAAGCAATCCTCCCCCCTCGGCCTCCACTACCCCAGTATGCCCAGCTTTTTTTTTTTTTTTTTTTGTAGACACAGGGTTTCACCATGTTGCCCAGGTTGGTCTCCAGCCTCTGTGCTCAAGCTATTTGCCCGCCTCAGCCACTCAAAGTGCTGGCATTATGGAGTGAGCCACCATGCCCTGCCTAAAAATGGTATTATATAGTTTTTTTTTTGTTTGTTTTGTTTGTTTTTTTTTGAGACAGAGTTTCGCTCTTGTTACCCAGGCTGGAGTGCAATGGCGCGATCTCGGCTCACCGCAACCTCCGCCTCCTGGGTTCAGGCAATTCTCCTGCCTCAGCCTCCTGAGTAGCTGGGATTACAGGCACGTGCCACCATGCCCAGCTAATTTTTTGTATTTTTAGTAGAGACGGGGTTTCACCATGTTGACCAGGATGGTCTCGATCTCTTGACCTCGTGATCCACCCGCCTCAGCCTCCCAAAGTGCTGGGATTACAGGCTTGAGCCACCACGCCCGGCTAGTTTTTTTTTTTTTTTAAGTGTTGCTACCTTTTAGAGATTTTTAAAAGATGGAGTATTGGCCGGGTGTGGTGGCTCACGCCTGTAATGCAAGCACTTTGGAGGCCAAGGCGGGCGGATCACCTGAGGTCGGGAGTTCAAGACCAGCCTGACCAACATGGTGAAACCCCGTCTTAAAAAAAAAAAAAAAGAATAATAAATAAATAAATAAATAAATAAATGGAGTATTTACAAATGAAATCATTTGAGGTCTCAGATTTGCTTCCAAATATCCAGTGAGGCTGCCTGGGTGTGGTGGCTGACACCTGTAATCCCAGAATTTTGGAAGGCCAAGGTGCGTGGATTGCTTGAGCCCAAGAGTTGGAGACCAGCCTAGGTAACATGGCAAAACCTTTCATTTATTTTTTAATTTATTGTTATTATTTTTTTACCCTAGACATGTTTCCTGCATGGTTTGTCTCCCCAGTCATTGTCCACAGGACTCTGGGGAGCTGTAGGAATATGCAGGTGCAGACACGAAGCCCAGCTTCATCTCCAACATTGTGGAAAGGGACTGTATGTCACAGGGCAGAGCCCTGCAAAACGTTTCTTTGCAAAAATTAGCCAGACATACTGGCTTGCCCCTGTAGCCCCAGCTACTTGAGAGGCTGAGGCAGGAGAATCACTTGGGCCTGGGAGGTTGAGGCTGCAGTGAGCTGTGATCACACCACTGCACTCTAGCTAGAGTGACAGAGTGAGACACTGTCTCAAAAAAAAAATTATATTGAGTAATAATCGATTCAGGCAAGAATAGATGCTGAAACAGTGAAAGTCTGATGAGTAACAGGATATTTACAGAGTCTCCACGTACTTCCCACAAACCGGAAAGCAATAACTTTATAGCAGAGACACCTGGCAGAGACCACTTTAGCCAAGTGGTCAAAATTAACATCACCAGTGATGGGTCCAATTGGTGGCAGGCTGGGGTCTTCTTGCCAAAAAGGCACAAACTGAATCTAATTATAAGGAAACAGCAGACAAACCCAAGTTGAAAGACATTCTGCCTAATTACTGACCTACACTTTGTTAAAACATCAAGGCTACAAAAGACAAAAAGGCTCAGAAATTGATCTTAGTGAAAAGACAATTGGAAGCAACAAGTGATCTTGGATTTTCTTTTGCCATAAAGGTCAGTGATGTGACAATGGGTGAAATCTGATTAGGTTTCCAGATTTCCTGCTTTTCCTTTTTTTTCTTTTTTTTTTTTTTTTTTTTTTTTTTGAGACTGAGTTTCGCTCTTGTTACCCAGGCTGGAGTGCAATGGCACGATCTCGGCTCACCGCAACCTCCGCCTCCTGGGTTCAGGCAATTTTCCTGCCTCAGCCTCCTGAGTAGCTGGGATTACAGGCACGCACCACCATGCCCAGCTAATTTTTTGTAGTTTTAGTAGAGACGGGGGTTTCACCATGTTGACCAGGATGGTCTCGATCTCTTGACCTCATGATCCACCCGCCTCGGCCTCCCAAAGTGCTGGGATTACAGGCGTGAGCCACTGCGCCCGGCCCGATTTCCTGCTTTTCATCATTTTACTGAGGTTATGTTTAGAGAATGCCTTGTTCTGGCCAGGTGCAGTGGCTCACACCTGTAATCCTAGCACTTTGGGAGGCCAAGGCAGGCGGATCACCTGAGGTCGGGAGTTTGAGACCAGCCTGATCAACATGGAGAAACCCCCTCTCTAGTAAAAATACAAAATTAGCTGGGCATGGTAGCACATTCCTGTAATTCCAGCTACTTGGGAGGCTGAGGCAGGAGAATTGCTCGAACCCGGGAGACGGAGGTTTCGGTGAGCCAAGATTGTGCCATTGCACTCCAGCCTGGGAAACAAGACCAAAGCTCCATCTCAAAAAAAGAAAGAAATATTCCAAAACTTACGAAGAAATATGTGAAAGTTACAACATCATTAATAATAGTAATGGTAGTAGGAATTAAGAATTTTTGTAGCAGGGCTCAGTAGTGTGCACCTGTAGTCCCAACTACCTGGGAGGCTGAAGCAGGAGGATTGCTTAAGCCCAGGACTCCCAGACCAGCCTAGGCAACATAGCAAGACCTCATCTCTAAAAAAAAAAATTGGACCAATGTGGTAGCTCACACCTGTAATCCCAGCACTTTGGGAGGCCAAGGCGGGCGGATCATCTGAGGTCAGGAGTTTGAGACCAGCCTGGCCAACGTGGTGAAACCCCATCTCTACTAAAAATACAAAAATTAGCCAGGCGTAATGGCATGCGCCTGTAATCCCAGTTACTTGGGAGGCTGAGGCAGGAGAATCACTTGAACCTAAGAGACAGAGGTTGTAGTGAGCCAAGACTGTGCCATTGCACTCTAGCCTGGGCAATAAGAGCAAAACTCCGTCTCAAAAAAAAAAAAAAAAGGTGTTGAGATGGTAGATAAAAGAGCCCAGTTGCTCAGAGGATACAGTTGCTCAGAGGCTGCAGAAACTAGAAATATGAAATCTAGAATTGCACTGCCCAGTACTATAGGTAATGATCTATTTAGATCATTAGATTTGCTATTTAGATTTCTGTTAATTAAAATTCAATAATATGTAAAATTCAGTCCCTGACTCACATTAGTCATATTTGTAGTGCTCATAGACAGTGCTGCTCTGAATTATGGAATCTAGAATGCTTCTTTTTCTTTTTTTTTTGTTAAGATAGAGTCTTGCTCTGTCACCAGGTTGGAGTGCAGTGGTGCGATCTCAGCTCACTGCAACCTTTGTGTTTCGGATTCAAGCGATTTTCCTGCCTCAGCCTCCCGAGTAGCTGGAACTACAGGCACACGCCACCATGCCCAGCTAATTTTTGTATTTTCAGTAGAGACGGATTTTCACCATGTTGGCCAGGATAGTCTCGATCTCTTGACCTCGTGATCTGTCCGCCTTGGCCTCCCAAAGTGCTGGGATTACAGGCGTGAGTCACCGTGCCCAGCCTAGAATGCTTCTTAGAATACAGTTCGCTGGGCGCGGTGGCTCAAGCCTGTAATCCCAGCACTTTGGGAGGCCGAGGCGGGTGGATCATGAAGTCAAGAGATCGAGACCATCCTGGTCAACATGGTGAAACCCCGTCTCTACTAAAAAAATACAAAAAATTAGCTGGGCATGGTGGTGCGTGCCTGTAATCCCAGCTACTCAGGAGGCTGAGGCAGGAGAATTGCCTGAACCCAGGAGGCGGAGGTTGCGGTGAGCCGAGATTGCGCCATTGCACTCCAGCCTGGGTAACAAGAGCGAAACTCCGTCTCAAAAAAAAAAAAAAAAAAAAAAAAGAATACAGTTCAAGGGCCGGGCACAGTGACTCACGCCTGTAATCCCAGCACTTTGGGAAGCGGAGGTAGGAGGATTGCTTGAGCCCAGGAGTTTGAGGCCAGTTTAGGGAACATGGCAAAAGCCCATCACTACAAATAAAAGATTTAAAAAGTGGTCAGGCTTGGTGGTGAGCGCCTATATTTCCCAGCTTCTCGGGAGGCTGAGGCAAGAGAATCACTTGAGCCTGGGAGGTTGAGGCTGCGGTGAGCTGAGGTGGTGCCACTGCACTCCAACCTGGGTGACAGAGTGAGACCCTGTCTCCAAAACAAGAACAAAACAGAATATAGTGCAAGGAATACATATTGTTTAACTACCAGGGGTTCCTGGTGAGAAACACACATTTCTAGATTCATTCCAGACCTACTTAGTCAGAATCTCTGACTACAGAGCTTGAGAATTCTCATTTGAGCAGGTTCTTCCAGTTCATTCCTTTGTTGCTTGCTAATAGGCAGCTGCCTCTCTAGGGGAAGAAGGAGGTGAAAGTCATCTTGTGCTTCCTGCCAGAAGGATCACTCTAATCTGGACTCCAAGATTTGAGAGATATCAACAAAGGATCTTCAGACCCAGATATTGAGGAAGATCAGCTATGATCGTGGGCCAGGTGCAGTGGCTCACGCCTGTAATCCCAGCACTTTGGAAAGCCAAGGCGGGTGGATCACCTGAGGTCTGGAGTTCGAGATCAGCCTGGCCAACATGGTGAAACCCCATCTCTACTAAGAACACAAAAAAATTAGCCAGGCGTGGTGATGCCTGAAATCCCAGCTACTCAGGACGGTGAGTCAGGAGAAGCATTTGAACCTGGGAAGTGGAGGCTGCAGTGAGCTAAAACTGCACCACTGCTCTCCAGCCTGGGCAACAAGAGCAAAACTGTGTATCAAAAATATATATATATTAGCTGGGCATGGTGGTGCGTGCCTGTAATCAAAACTACTAGGGAAGCTGAGGCAGAAGCACTTGAACCTGGGAGGTGGAGGTTGCAGTGAGCACAGATCACGTCACTGCACTCCAGCCTGGGTGACAGAGTTAAGACTCCATCTCCAAAAATAAATAAATAAATGAAAAAAAAATTTTTTTTTGTTTTGAGACAGAGTTTTGCTCTTATTGCCCAGGCTGGAGTGCAGTAGTGTCGTCTTGGCTTACTGCAACCTCTGTCTCCCAGGTTTAAGTGATTCTCCGGCCTTGGCCTTCTGAGTAGCTGGGATTACAGGGGTGCACCACCATGCCTGGCTAATTTTTTGTATTTTTAGTAGAGATGCTGTTTTATCATGTTGGCCAGGCTGGCCTTGAACTCCTGACCTCAGGTGATCCACCTGCCTTGGCCTCCCAAAGTGCAGGGATTACGATGTGAGCCACCATGCTCGGCTGAAAATTTTGTAAAAAGATATTGTGCTTTCAATGACTGCCTGGGTTCCAATCCTGGCCCCTTAACTCCCATGCTACTTGACTTTGGGTAGATTACTTAACCTCTCTGTGTCTTGGTTTCCTTATCTGTCAAAAAGCTGATAATAGCACCTACTCTATTGGGTTATTACGAGAATTCCAGAAGTTCACAGATGTCAAGTGATTCCAACAGTGCCCGGCACATGAGCACACATTGGATTTTTTATCCTTTGGAATAGGGTCTCACTCTGTTACCCAGGCTGGAGTGCAGTGGCATGTCCACAGCTCACTGTAGCTCGATCTCCTGGGGTCAAAGGATTCTCACACCTCAGCCTCCAGAGCGGCCAGGACTATAGACATGTACCACCACACCAGGGTAATTATGTATTTACTTATTTTTAGAGATGGGGTCTCACGATGTCGCCCAGGCTCATCTCAAACTCCTGGCCCCAAATGATTCTCCTGCCTTGGCCTCCCAAAGGGCTATGATTACAGGCATAAGCCACCATGCCTGGCCCTATTTTCTTTTCTTTTCTTTCTTTATTTTTTTTGAGATGGAGTTTTGCTCTTTTTGCACAGGCTGGAGTGCAATGGTGTGATCTCGGTTCAATGCAACCTCTGCCTCCCAGGTTCAAGCAATTTTCCAGCCTCAGCCTCCCAAGTAGCTGTGATTACAGGCACCCACCACCACGCCCAGCTAATTTTTTATTTTTAGTAGAGACAGGGTTTCACCATGCTGGCAAGGCTGGTTTCAAACTCCTGACCTCAGGTGATCTTCCTGCCTCGGCCTCCCAAAGTGCTGGGATTACAGGTGTGAACTACCATGCCTGGCCCTATTTTCTTTTCTTCCTAGCACTTAACACTCACTAAAATGACCATCATTTGCTTTGCTTTATTTATTCCACAAACATTT